CACCAGGATGTGAAGCGGTGAAACCCTGGGCGCTGAAGCAGAGCGCGCTAACTTAATCACTCAGCCACGGGGCTGGCCCCCACACACTCTTAAGCACATGAGATACATCAGTGAACCAAACAGACTGAAACAGATTTATGGATTCAAGGAGCTTGAGAGGTAAACTCCGCCTCTGCCACACCGAAGCCAAATAATATGGGCTCCTAGCACTTACCATGTGCCTGGATCAAAGGAAAAACTCTCTGTATATGTTCAGGCCAAGCTCTCATCCAGCGAGGTTACTAAATCTCTGGTTTGGAAGTGGCTATGGGACTGCCTGGGGAGAGGAAAGTATAGCTGGCAGCCAGCCATTACTGGCACACACCTGTAAGGCTCCTACTTGACTGATGTGCCCCAGCTTCTTGCCCACAGCATAGGATTGAGATGTTTTCCAGTTGCTTCTGCTCTAGGTCTCCTTTGATGCTCTGATAAGTCACTCTCTGAGTGACTCCTTCAGGTACTCACCAAATCCATTTGTGCTTCCTTTCAGAGTCAGCCCCCAAATCCCCCATGGCATAGCTTTCTGAGCCCCGTGACAGGTGATCTTTTCAATCTCTCCCCAGACTTGCTCTAGAACCTTCCCCAGGTCATTTCCTTGTTGGAGATTTCCTGGTTTCTTTTGCTTCAGGAAGTTTCCTGAGTGCCTCAACACAGCTACCCCCGGGTTTTTGCTTCTTTGGTTCTTAACCAAGAAGCCATGAAGGCATGAATCCATTTTTGCTTTTTTTTTTAAGTTCATTTTTCTATTGAGGTCATAATAGTTTGTAACATTGTGAAATTTCAGTTGTACATTATTATTTGTCAGACACCATAGAAGTGTGCCCCTTCACCCCTTGTCCCTACCTCCCATCCCCCTTCCCCCCGTAACCATTAAACTATTCTCTTTGTCCAAAGTTTGTTTATATTCCACAAATCAGTGAAATTATATGGTGTTTGTCTTTGTCTGGCTTATTTCACTTAACATAATACCATCAAGGTCTATCCATGTGGTTCTGAATGGAATGATGTCATTTTTTATGGCTGAGTAGTATTCCATTGTATGTGTATGTATATACATATACACACATGTACACACACACCACGTCTTCTTTATCCAATCATCAGCTGATGGGCACTTGGGTTGCTTACATGTCTTGGCTACTGTGAATAATGCTGCAGTGAACATAGGGGTGCATAAGCCTCTTGGAATTGTTGATTTCAAGTTCTCTGGATAAATACCCAGTAGTGGGATAGCTGGGTGATATGGTATTTCTATTTCTAATTTTCCGAGGAAACTCCATATTGTTTTCCATAGTGGCTGCATCAGTTTGCATTCCCACCAGCAGTGTATGAGGGTTCACTTTTCTCCACAACCTCTCCAACATTTTTAGTGACTACAGGCATTCCAACGGGCATAGAGCTGATATCTAAGTGCACTTTTGATTTGCATTTCCCTGATGATTAGTGATATTGAGCATCTTTTCATGTGCCTATTGGCCATCTGTATATCTTGTTGGGAAAAATGTCTGTTCATATCCTCTGCTCAGTGTTTGATTGGGTTGGTTTTTTGTAGTTCAGTTGTGTGAGTTCTTTATATATTATGGAAATTAACCCTTTGTTAGATATATGATTTGCAAATATTTTTTCCCAGTTGCTGGGATTTTTCTTTTTGATCCTGGTTTGCTTTCCAGCTCTTTAGTTTGATGAGCTCCCACTTGTTTATCTTTTGTTTCCCTTGTCTGAGAAGACATGATACTCAAAAAGATCCTTTTAAGGCTGACATCAAAGTGTACTGCCTATATTTTCTTCCAGAAGTTTCCTGGTTTCATGTTTTACCTTTAATTCTTTGATCCATTTTGAGTTTATTATGGAGAAAGATAGTGGTCTACTTTCATTCTTTCACATGTGGCTGTGCAGTTTTCCCAGCATCGTTTATTGAAGAGGCTTTCTTTTCTCCCTTGCATGTTCCTGGCTCCTTTGTCAAAGATTAGCTGTCCACAGATGTGTGGTTTTATTTCTAGGCTTTCAATTCTCTTCCATTAATCTGTGTGCCTGTTTGTGTACCAGTGCCACAGTTTTGATCACTATAGCTTTGTAATATGTCTTGAAGTCCGGGATTGTGATGGCACCAGCTTTGTTCTTGTTTCTCAGGATTGCTTTGGCTGTTTGGGGTCTTCTATCGCCCCACGTGAATTTAGGATTCTTTCAGTCCCACTCCCTGATGTCTGGGGAGAGGAGAGGGACTAGCTGGAGGTTGAATCAATCAGCAAAGGCCAACGATTTAATCAACCATGACTACGGAATGAAGCCTCCACAAAAATCCGAAAGGAGGGGGTTTGGAGAGATCTCACTCCCAGGCTGGGGAACCAGAATGCTTCCATGAGCCACTATGCTGGGCCCCAAGCTCCACGAGGACAGAAGCTCTTTTGTTCAGGACCAAGCCCTACGAAGCTCTTTATCTGGCTGTTGATTCATATCCTTTAATAACCTTTGTAATAAATTGGTAATCTCGTGAATAAATGAGTTTTCCTGAGTTCTGTGAGCTGTTGTAGCAATTTTATCGAACCTAAGGAGGGGGTCATGGGAACCTCTGATTTACAGCCAATCAGTCAGAAGTACAGGTAATAACCTGGACTTGCTATTAGCATCCTGAGTTGGAGGGGGTCGCTGGAGCCTCCAATCTGTAGCCGGTGGGTCAGAAGCACAGGTACCAACTTGGCCTTGCGATTGACGTCTGAAGAGGAGGGAGGTCTTGTGGGACTGAGCCCTTTACCTGCGGCACCCAACTCTATGTCCAAGTAAGCGTGTCAGAATTGAGTTGAATTCTTGAACACCTCGCTAGTGTCCGAGACTGCTTGTTGCTGTATGTAGGGAAACCTCCACACCCCCACACAGACACGTGCACACATTGGAATTGGGTCCAGGAACACTATTTTGGTGCCTATTGGTGAGCAGGAAATAAAGGTAAGGGGGGGGGTAGGGTTTGGTGGCCAAAGGATTGAGAGGAAATTAGGGGCATCTTGGGGTACATATGGTCCCAAGACAGGGGATGGCTTTGACCTGAGAGGAAGTGATGGTTAGGGGAGTGGGAGGTGGGGTCTGAGGACATGAGGCTACTCCAGATTGAACAGAGGCCAATGGAGTTATAAAATGGGACGGAACAGCACCGACCACACCTGGAGGGATGGGAGTACCTTTTGGACCAGGGACTACTTCAGAGGGAGCTTGAATAGGAGAGGTCTGTGGTTCTGGGGAGGCAATGGGAGCTGGCAGAGATCTCACTGACCCTGACTGAGCCTCAGCAACTGAAGGAGGTGCACTAAGAGGATTAGGTGGATAACTCTTCTGCACTGAGTGGGGAGCCAAGGCCACAAGAGCCAAGGGAGCTGAAGAGGAATGCGCACCTTTCAGAGTTGGAGTAATCATGGGAGAGGCCAGAGCTAAGGCAGCTGGGGAGATGGGAGGCCCCATTAGGTTTGGCAGGAAAGCTGGGGTGTCAGGGAGGGAAGGGGTAGATCCCAAAGGCAGGGCTATCCCAGAGGATGACTGGGGAAAAGGAGCTTCAAAAGGGGTGGAGGCAACAGCAGAGGGAGAAAGGAAGGGGGGAGGCTGGTTAGGGGTTGCCAGAGGGCAGTGTTGGGGGGCCAGGGAGGATGGAGGGGGAAGGGCAGGGTCAGACTGCCCTAAGGCAGCAGTGACACTCAAGGCTGAAGACAGAGAATGCACAGCTAGAGGAGAAAAGCAAAAGGGGATAAAAAATGAAAGGAAAAAAACAAACGTGAGTTATGCAGCCCAACTTGGTACAACATGCCTCACAGGAAACACTGGAATTTTTAATCTGAGAACGAAAGTCACCACACAGGATTAGACAACAGTGACAGGAAACAGCAACCTTCCCCAAACATCCTTCAGGGGTCAAGTAAGAATACATCCTTCTCCTCATCTCCCACATCTCCCGAGTTCTACCGAAATAAGCCAACGATTTTCGGGTGGAGAAAAGAGTGTCAGAGCAGCCTATCAGTCTAAAGGGGGAGCACAGGCCCAGGAGTGGGTTGGGAACAGCATGCTTTCCACCCTTTCCCAGCTGTGCCCTCCCCTCCCTCCTCAAATGAACCTCAAGTCCTTCTCACCGGCCAGAGAATCACCATTAGACAAACAGCTGTTCTATCCTGTTCACCCAAGGAGCATGAACTAATGGAAACAGATACTGCAAACTGGGACAAGGAAGGTAGGGGGTGGTGCTAATGATGGGCAATCAGAGCTGAAGGAGAAAAGAAGAGGTGTCACGTGCTCAGGCTGCCACTAGGGCCAGGAAAAATCCAACTCTTAGAATAAAGTTTTAGGAAGGGGTGTCTGGCACAACTCCATTCTTCCTCAAGTCGAAACTCTTCAGAATTTAATACTAAATAGGAAATACTAAGTCACTTAGCCTCCCTATGCCTCAGTTTACCTATTCACCCCAAACAAAAAACCAACCACAAACGGGCTGGACTCAGTGGTCTCTACAGACCTTCCCAGGCATGTTAGCTCTGCAGCCATCCATCTAAGATGACTGAGACTGCCCGGGAGAGAGCGTAGTCACAGGGCTAGGGACTGTGTCATGAAACTGTAACCCCACTTGTTAAACCAGACTGTGGCTCTATTTTGGAAGCAGGAAATTGGAGTGGAGAGAACACATTGGATCCCCACCCCTTAACCTGGACAAGTATGTCATTCTGCCAAAATAGACCAGTATTTGGCACTAGAGTAAAGCTAAGCAATTACGTTCTGAACAATGGAAAAATATCATGCTTACTACTCAGGAGATAACACAGGATTAGACCAACAAATGCTCAACACCTAGGCATATTAAGAAAACAAAACACAAAACCAAAAAACCATAGCATCCGAAGTTCTTCAGAGTATCCTCCTACAGACGAGACAGGTGGCTCAACCAGTTTTTCCTGGAGAGTTGGCAGCTCAAAGTCTTATGGTTACAGTGCAAATGCTTTCAAACATATTAAGCAGAACTCGAAACTTAGAATGTTTTCCTCTGACTGGACCTCAAGATGTGGTAAGGCCCCAAACCAGTTCCCTGAGCTACTTTTCTCATTCATTCTAGAAATTATTGAATTATAGGAAAAATTTCCAAGTGTTTATCACTGGTACTCCCTTAATATCATGATGAAACCTACTATGCAATGTCAAACTCTTCAGGAATCAGTTTAAAAGCACCATGTAAAGATTGCTTCCAGAGCAAATGGCATTAACTTGGAAGCTTGAAACGAGATTATTCTAAATGCACCTGAATTTCAGTGTCCACATTTGTAAAGTAAGTTTTTCAATGAGAATGTCTAAGGTTTTGTTTAGCACTGAAACCACAGGATCTTTAGAGACCAGTCTTATTTTTCCCTTTGCTTGAAGTCGCTGGCAGTTCGAGGTTTTCGCAGAGCTCATTCTCCAGCTCAGAGGCCCCCTGCTTTTTCTTTTCTAGCAGCTGTATTAATCCCTTCAGCTGCCACAATCAGACAGGTGGGGAGGGTGAACCTTAACGCTTTCAACGATAAACAACTCTATTTTAATTCCAGAAGAAGACAAAAATTGCCCTTAAGTGACAAGCGGAGTTTAAAAAAATTACTAAATTTACCATAAGAAAAATACGTGAGGGTGGAGGGTACAGCCTGAAGATGCCCTTCGTTTCCTTCTGCACAACTGACTCAGCAAGAAGACCATCATCCAAAATCTTCTCATTACCCCTCTCAAGTCTCATAGAGGAGTAGTTTAACCAGAATTCCAAACTTGCCTTAGCCTACGTTCTACATCCATTAATTTCAAAGCCGAGGAGCAGTCAATGGAAGGCTTCACTTCAGTCCTGGGTTCCAGACAAGCTGCTGATGCAGGCACTATTCCAGCACACAGAAACATCTCGGCACCAATCCAGAAAACAGGTTAACCAACCTCGCAGGGCCCTGGGGCCCAGCAGGACACATCTGCCACCAGCGCACAGCTCACTCTGACGTGTGATGTGGGCACAACGCCGAGCACTGCCATCTAAAACCAGGATGCAACCTGCTGGCGGGAACTCCACAAAAGCTCAGGTCTCCTTGGCCGCCAGTGTGTCATCCAGTTCCAACAGGTGAGCATCACCGGGCCCCTTCCCCGCTCACATTCCCACATGAGGTGAGCGTTCCACAGCAGAGCCCCTGGGAGGCAGCTGCCATACCCACAAAGCAGGCCGGGGAGCTGTCAATGTCAAACATACTGTTTTTACCCCACTCCCTAATGAAGTCCCTCCAGCGCAGCAGTTAATAGTACGGACGCTCCTCCCTCGTAAAGCCACAGCCCGATCTTCTTTAAGGAGCGTCAACTCCGAAGGACACAAGTCTCTTCCCATTGCCCCTTCACCCACCAAGTGGTCTTAGGGTCACCTTACGATCTTAACTAAGGGCCAGGGGGCTAGCGGAGCCTACTTGTCTCAGCCTGGGGCTGTGGCAACTCCTGCTCTGTAGCAGGGACGGTTTCTGTGGCTTCACCGGGCATTTCTGGAAGAAGGGAATAAAAGGAGGCCTGAATTCATAAAAAAAGACGAAATTGGCCCATTCACAACAATGTGGATGGACCTCGAGGGTATTATGTTAAGCGAAATAAGTCAGTCAGAGAAAGACGAACTCTATATGACTCCACTCATAGGTGGAAATTAGTATATTGAGAAGGAGATCTGATTGGTGGTTACCAGGGAAAAGGGGGGGTGGGGGGAGGGTACGGAGGGGGAAGTGGTGTACCCACAACATGACTAACAAAAATGTACAACTGAAATCTCACAAGGTTGTAATCTATCATAACATTAATAAAAAAAAAAAAAAATAAAAAAAATAAAAAAAAAAAGGAGGCCTGAATTGACTGGGATCCATTCTGCTGCCCAACCTAGAGCCGGGTATTCTTAAAAACTCTACGGAGACTGTTAAAAAACAAACTCATAAAGGTAATCGGGGACAACCCTCCCCAAAGCCGCGGGAAGGGACGAAAGTCTGACGAGAGCCCCAGGGCTGTCAAGTGAATGCCCTCCTTCCACCTCCTCTTCCCTCCGCAGAGAGGCCTCCACAGGCCCAGGGGCCGGTCTGCCCACAAGGCCGCGCTCGCCCGGTCCTCAGCGCGAGGGCAGCCTCCGCGCCTGGCTCCCGGCCGCTGCCCCGAACCACCTCCCCTCCCGGACCCACGCTGCCGGGGCTGGGGCCTCCAGTGATGGGGGGTCGGTGAGCCGAGGAGTTGAAAGAAAGATTTCTTGGACTCTCAAGATCTGGCAGTAGTGCTCTTTCATTTAGAGAATAGTGTGGAATAGCATGGGGACAGGACCCATGGGCAGGCAGAGCTGCTGCTGGCACGCTGCTGCTGCCGCTTCTGCTGCAAACATGAGTGGAGTGTAAGGCTAATTTTAAGGCATGGGTATATGAGTCATCTCTTTACAAGACAAAGGAAAGAACATGAAAAAAAAGTTAAAATGGTATCAGTGCAGGTGGGGTCTGGTCATTGGGTGATCCCATGACTTTTAGACAAGAATCAAATCGGATAAGGTAAAGGTCAGAAGCCACCACCCTAAATCAGTTACATGAGATTGCCAGACAGCAACCAACTTAAGTTCTTGCCTTCCCCATTAAGAGTTTCTAGGGACAAGGTCATCTCTCTTCTTCCTGGTACGGAAAGGGAGGCACCTTTTACAGATAGAGATTTACCTTACAAATGTAAATGTGTCCCAACAAGGGCAAGTTCCATTCCCCAGAGCCTCCCTCCCTGTCCCTATTATCAAAAGCAATCAGCCCCAAACAGTCCCGATGCCAAAGAGACATATCCTGTGGTGGCCAATTTCAGGTCCCTACAAGGTCATCCCCCCTTCCTTCACAAATGCAAATATCTGTCAAAGAGCAAGCAAATTCCACTCCTCGGAGCCTGCTTCTCATCTGCAGTTTTAAAAGTAACCAGCCTAAAATCCTCATCATCCAGGACCCCGGTCTGCCGCGTTTTGGGACCCAGGGGTCACAGGGAGGACCTGAGTCCCAACACTCGCTTGTCAGGATAAGGACGGTGTGGGGATCCCAAGGCTGGGACCCCTTCACCTCCCGTGGGTTCTCGTCAAGTCATTTCCGACAGCTGATGCACTCCGCTGCCGCCCCTGACACCACAGTGGCTCCCATCTCCCCACCCCCGGACCCCAGGCACGGCCCACAGCCCTCCTGCCTTGCTGTTGTCAGGACACCAACCTCAGACCCCACTTTGCCCAGAGGCCCCAAGGCCACACATCCCAGGGCCAAGTAGGAAGCCGGTGGCCCCGTAAAGCCTCCAACTCTCCTCAGCTCTCAGTCCTCAGGGCGCCTTAGCCCACAAGAAGGGCGGATGGCTGCGGATAGAGAGAAGCGGCGAGGATGGCACTTACTGTGCGGGGAACGTGGAACCAAGATGGCGGCAGAGAGAGAGCGCGAGAGCGTGACCCGCGCCTGTTGCAGAAGGCAGCCTGGCGGAGGGGGCGGAGCCGCGATGCGGTTCCGGGTCAGGAGCCGCCCGCAGCCACTTCCTTTACAGAGCAGGGCGTCCTGCTGTTCCCTGACAGGGAGGTAATGAGGCCTAAATAAGGGTAGGAATTCAGAACGGGATGCGCCGGCCTGGCCGGAACTGTGCCGGGAGCCTCGCATTCCTCAGAAAGCCGCCCCTTGCCATCCCCCTGGTGGAGGCATCTTTGATACCCGAAAGGAAACTGTGATGAGGGGCAACCTCTGCCCACTGGTCAGCCACGTAGCCACAGCGGTATTACTGTGACTTCCTGATTTCCTTTCTCAGATAATGCAGGAAAGTAAGAGGTACTAACGTCAAATACCGGGGGCCAGCCGTGGTGGCCTAGTGGTCAAGGTCGGCGCCCTCTCCTTTGGCAGACTAGGTTCAGTTCCCGGCGTGGACCTACACTGCTCTGTTGGTGGCCATGCTGTGCTGGCGACCTACATCCTAAAAAATAGAAGAAGATTGGCACAGATGTTAGCTTGGAATAGCGTTTGAGGTATTAATGCTATTGAATACTACCTGGTAACTGTTATTAGTATTATTATTAACAGAAATGCATTAAAATTTTCCTACTATAACTGCAGATTTTCAAATATGTCCTTGCAGTTCTATTTTTTTTATAATTGAAATTTATTAAGTTTATACCCCAAAAAAAATCAGTTCCTTAGTTATACTAACCACATTTTAAGTGCTTAAAAGCCCCATGTGGCTAGTGTATTAGACATTGCTGCTTTAAAACGGCCAAACCACATGCACGTATCTACCCTATACTAGTCAGGCTTTCTGATATTAAACTAATATAATATATTGCTACGTGTTAAGTCTCATCCAACATTCTTTTAAAAAATTGTGGCTTCAATGAAAGATAGTTTTGCCAACAGAGCAAAACATTAAAAATAAGAAGTCAGGGCCATGCCTTCTGAAGACAATTAGAAGTTTATCGCCACAGTGCATGAAGAACAGGTATTCTTTGATTTATATTCTAAAAATGTACATCAAATCTTGAATACAGAATCTTAATCATCCATTTAATTACATAATCTATAATTAAGAGCCAATAGGGGAAGAAAATATGATTGAGAACAGGATGAGATTTGGATTTTGGTATTTTGTTATGTCTGCATGGAATTAAGAGTCCTCATAATAGTTCACTGAAAAGAGTAAAGAAACTACTTTAAAAAAATTTTAGTAAATGTTATCTGACTTACTTGGGACTGGAAAAGGAATCTCCATGAGGGTATGAAGGATGAATATCTGAACTGTGGCAGCTATGAAGGTACATTATAACTTTGTCCTACATTTTCATATGTGAATTTTCTTATAATAAATAAACTCATACCAAAAAAAGTTTAGTTTGGGATCAACCATGTAGTACTTTGAACCTTTAATGCAAGATTGTAAACTCCTTGGATGTAGGTTTGTTTCATCATTGTGGAATATATAATAGGCACTCAATATTTAAACAGATATTTACTAACTGCTTATTATATGTTAAGTACTATGCTAAATTCTAAAAACGTCTAAGCCATATTACTTGGTCTCAAGAAGTTTTCAAATGAATTGGAAACACAAGTTCTTATGTAGTAATAGAAAATAATATATAATTAAAGGCCAAAAAGGCATATAGATAATTATGAGTCCAAAGAATTGCCCAATCAGTGTTGAGGTGGCTATTATCTGGGTCTTAGAAAAAAGATATAATCAGATAGAGAGGAGAGTGGAGAACATTCCAGGATTTGGGAAGTAGAAGGGAAGGAATAAATGGTACTAATGTGAAAAAGGGCAATGGCTTAAAATCAGAAAAACTAAAGAGATAATAAGGAACTTATATCACACCTATTCCAACCTCCCATTTCCTCTATAACATCCCTGACTGACCGAAGGTGATTAGCCTATTTATGAATACTTGAAATGACAGGCAGTTCAGTTTATTTTTTTTCCTCTTTTTTTTTTTTGAGGACGATTATCCCTAAGCTAATATCTGCCACCAATCCTCCTCTTTTTGCCAAGGAAAACTGGCCCTGAGCTAACATCCATGCCCATCTTCCTCTACTTTATATGTGGGATGCCTGCCACATCATGGCTCAACAAGTGGTGTGTTGGTCCCCACTCAGGATCTTAACCAGTGAACCCCCGGGCCACCAAAGTGGAACGTGCAAACTTAACTGCTGTGCCACTGGCCGGCCCCTGATAGGAAGTTCAGTTCATTTTTTTTTCTTTATTGAGTTAATGATAGCTTACAATCTTGTGAAATTTCAGTTGTACATTAATGTTTGTCATTTGTGTTGTAGGTGAACCACTTCACCCTTTGTGCCCACCCCCCACCCCACCTTTCCCCTGGTATCCACTAAACTGTTCTTAGTCCACATTTTTAAATTCCTCATATGAGTGGAGTCATACACAGATTATCCTTCTCTAGCTGGCTTATTTCATTTAACATAATTCCCTCAAGGTCCATCCATGTTATCACAAATGGAATGATTTTGTTCCGTTTTGCAGCTGAGTAGTATTCCATTGTATATATGTACCACATCTTCTTTATCCATTCGTCTGTTGCTGGGCACTTAGGTTGCTTCCATGTCTTGGCTATTGTAAATAATGCTGCAATGAACATTGGTGTGCATAGGACTTTTGGGATTGCTGACTTCAAGCTCTTTGAATAAATACCCAGTAGTGGGATGGCTAGATCGTATGGTAGTTCTATTTTTAATTTTTTGAGGAATCTCCATACTGCTTTCCATAGTGGCTGCACCAGTTTGCATTCCCACCAGCAGTGTATGAGGGTTCCTTTTTCTCCACAATCTCTCCAACATTTGTTACTATTAGTTTTAGATATTTTTGTCATTCTAATGGGTGCAAGGTGATATCTTTTCCCTGATGATCAGCGATGATGAGCATCTTTTCATGTGCCTATTGGCCATCCGTATATCTTCTTTGGAGAAATGTCTGTTCATGTCTCCAGCCCATTTTTTGATTGGATTGTTTGATTTTTTGTTGTTGAGTTGTGAGAGTTCTTTACATATCATGGATATTAAGCCTTTGTCAGATATATGACTTGAAAATATTTTTTCCCAGTTAGTGGGTTGTTTTTTTGTTTCAATCCTGTTTTCATTTGCCTTGAAGAAGCTCTTTAGTCTGATGAAGTCCCATTTGTTTATTCTTTCTATTGTTGCCCTTCTCTGAGAAGGCATGGTGTCCGAAAAGATCCTTTTAATACTGATGTCAAAGAGTGTACTGCCTACGTTTTCTTCCAGAAGCCTTATGGTTTCAGGTCTCACCTTTAGGTCTTTGATCCATTTTGAGTTTGTTTTGGTGAATGGTGAAAAAGAATGGTCAATTTTCATTCTTTTACATGTGGCTTTCCAGTTTTCCCAGCACCATTTGTTGAAAAGACTTTCTTTTCTCCATTGTATGCCCTCAGCTCCTTTGTCAAAGATAAGCTGTCCATAGATGTGTGGTTTTATTTCTGGGCTTTCAAATTCTGTTCCATTGATCTGTGCACCTGTTTTTGTACCAGTACCATGCTGTTTTGATTACTGTAACTTTGTAGTATGTTTTGAAGTCAGGGATTGTGATGCCTCCTGTTTTGTTCTTTTTTCTCAGGATTTCTTTAGAAATTCGGGGTCTTTTGTTGCCCCATATGAATTTTAGGATTCTTTGTTCTAATTCTGTAAAGAATGTCATTGGGATTCTGATTGGGATGGCGTTGAATCTGTAGATTGCTTCAGGTAGAACGGACATTTTAAGTATTATTCTTCCAATCCATGTACATGGAATGTCTTTCCATCTCCTTATGTCGTCATTCAATTCTCTCAGAAAGGCCTTGTAATTTTCATTATATAGGTCCTTCACTTCCTTAGTTAAATTTACCCCAAGGTATTTTATTCTTTTTGTTGCGATTGTGAATGGTATTATGTTCTTGAGTTCTTTTTCTGTTAGTTCGTTATTGGAGTATAGAAATGCTACTGATTTATGCAAATTGCTTTTGTACCCTGGAACTTTGCTGTAGTTGTTGATTACTTCTAAGAGTTTTCCAATGGATTCTTTGGGGTTTTCTATATATAAGATCATGTCGTCTGCAAACAGCGAGAGTTTCACTTCTTCCCTCCCTATTTGGATTCCTTTTATTCCTTCTTCTTGCCTGATTGCTCTGGCCAGAACCTCCAGTACTATGTTAAATAAGAGTGGTGATAGAGGGCATCCTTGTCTCGTTCCTGTTTTCGGGGGATGGTGTTCAGTTTTTGCCCATTGAGTATGATGTTGGCTATGGGTTTGTCATATATGGCCTTTATTATGTTGAGGTACTTTCCTTCTATGCCCATTTTGTTCCGAGTTTTTATCATAAATGGCTGTTGGATCTTGTCAAATGCTTTCTCTGCATCTATTGAGATGACCATGTGGTTTTTATTCCTCAGTTTGTTGATGTGGTGTATCACATTGATTGATTTGCGGATGTTGAACCATCCCTGTGTCCCTGGTATGAATCCCACCTTATCATGATGTATGATCCTTTTGATGAATTGCTGAATTCTGGTTGCCAAAATTTTGTTTAGAATTTTTGCATCTATGTTCATCAGTGATATTGGCTTGTAGTTCTCTTTTTTCGTGGTGTCCTTGTCAGGTTTTGGTATCAGCGTGATGTTGGCCTCATAGAATGTGTCAGGAAGTGTTCCATCTTTCCTAATTTTTTGGAATAGCTTGAAAAGGATAGGTATTAAATCCTCTCTGAAAGGTTGGTAGAATTCCCCAGGAAAGCCATCTGGTCCTGGGGTTTTATTCTTTGGGATGTTTTTGATTGCTGTTTCAATCTCTTTCCTTGTGACTGGTCTGTTCAAATTGTCTGCCTCTTCTTGAGTGAGCTTTGGGAGATTGTAGGAGTCCAAGAATTTATGCATTTCCTCTAGGTTATCCATTCTGTTGGCAGAGAGTTTTTCGTAGTATTCTCTTATAATCCGTTGTATTTCTGCAGAGTCTGTTGTTATTTCTCCTCTTTCATTTCTGATTTTGTTTATTTGAGCTTTCTCCCTTTTTTTCTTTGTAAGTCTGGCTAGTGGTTTGTCAATTTTATTTATCTTCTCAAAAAACCAGCTCTTTGTTTCATTGATCCTTTCTACTGCCTTTTTCGTTTCAATAGTATTTATTTCTGCTCTTTTATTATTTCTCTCCTTCTGCTGACTTTGGGCTTTATTTGTTCTTTTTTCTCTAGTTCAGTTAGGTGTACTTTAAGATTGCTTATTTGGGATTTTTCTTGTTTGATAAGATGTGTCTGTATTGTGATGAATTTTCCTCTTAATACAGCTTTTGCTGTATCCCATATGAGTTGGTATGGCATGCTATCATTTTCATTTGTTTCCAGGTATTTTTTGATTTCTTTTTTAATTTCTTCAATGATCCATTGCTTGTTCAGTAGTGTGTTGTTTAGTCTCCACATCTTTCTGCCTTTCTCAGCTTTTTTCTTGTAATTAATTTCTAGCCTTAGAGCATTATGATCAGAGAAGATGCTTGTTATTATTTCAATATTTTTAAATTTGTAGAGGCTTGCCTTGTTTCCCAACATATGGTCTTCCTTGATAATGTTCCATGTGCACTTGAGAAGAATGTGTATTCAGCTCTTTTACAGTGAAGTGATCTATATATGTTATTAAGTCCAATTGTTTTAGTTTTTCATTTAGCTCCACTATTTCCTTGTTGATTTTCTGTCTGGATGATTTGTCAATTGATGTGAGTGGGGTGTTGAGGTCCCCTACTATTCTGTTGTTTTTAACATCTTCCTTTAGGTCTGTTAATAGTTGCTTTATGAATCTTGGTGCTGCTGTGTTGGGTGCATAGATATTTATAAGCGTTATTTCTTCTTGAGGAAGCGTCCCTTTGATCATTATATATTGTCCCTCTGTGTCTCTCTTTACCTGTCTTATTTTGAAATCCACTTTGTCTGATATAAGAATTGCAACACCTTTTTTCCTTGCCATTAGCTTGAAGTATTGTCCTCCACCCCTTCACCCTGAGCCTGTGTTTGTCCTTGGGGCTGAGGTGTGTTTCTTGGAGGCAACAAATTGTTGGATCTCGTTCTTTAATCCATTTTGCCATTCTGTGTCTTTTTATTAGAGAGTTCAGTCCGTTTACATTGAGAGTGATTATTGATGCATGTGGACTTAATGCTGTCAATGTGTCGCTCATTATCTTGTTTTCCTGTGTTTCTTTTCCTGTGTGCTTTAGACTACCGATTTAATACTGCAATTTCTTATGCTGGGTTTCTTAGATTTTTCCTTATTTATGATTTGTGACTCTGTTCTGTATTTTATTTTAGTGTCTACCTTGAAGTTTGTATTTAGAATCTCATGTATAATATAGTCTATTCTCTGGTGGTCTCTTACTTACTTGACCAATACTGATTTAGACCCTTTGCTCTTCCCTTCCTAAATAATTATTTTCATTTCTTATTCCAACTCATGTTATTAATTTGTAGTTAGAGTGATAAGATCATCCTTGCTTTGGTAGTTTCCTTACCTTTACCCTAATGCTATAGTTGAATATTTGCTATCCTGTTCTGGTTCTATCCATCGGTCTCCCTAGTCTGTGGATTGTGACCCCTTCCTCCCTTTTTTCTTTTTTTCAAGTATGAGAGCCTTCTTGAGGATTTCTTGTAATGGAGGGCTTTTAGTTACAAATTCCCTTAACTTTTGTTTGTCTGGAAAAGATTTAATTTCTCCCTCATATCTGAAGGAAATTCTTGCTGGATAGAGTATTCTTGGCTGAAGATTTTTATCTTTTAAAGCGTTGAATATGTCACTCCATTCTCTCCTAGCTTGTAAGGTTTCTGTAGAGAAATCCACTGACAGTCTGATAGGGGCTCCTTTATAGGTTATTCTCTTCTTTTCTCTTACTTCCCTGAGTATTCTTTCCTTATCTTTCCTTCTTGCCAATTTTACTATGTGCCTTGCAGTAGGTCTTTTCAAATTGACAAATCTAGGAGATCTGAAGGCTTCCTCTACACACATTTCTCCATCAATCCCTAGATTTGGGAAGTTCTCTTCAATAATTTCGTTAAGAACACTTTCTGCTCCATTTTCCTTTTCCACATTCTCGGGAATTCCTATGACCCTTATGTTCTTACTCTTCATTGAATCCACTATCTCTTGGAGATTTTCCTCATTTTTTTTTAATTCTTAGTTCTCTTTCTTCCTCTCTCTGGAGCCATTCAGCCTGTCTATCTTCAATTATGTTAATTTGCTCTTCTATGGTGTCTACACAGGCATTCAGGGAATCCGTATTCTGTTTTATCTGGTCCATTGTGTTTTTCATCTCTAGTAATTCTATTTGATTCTTCTTTATGATTTCAATCTCTTTTGTGAAGTAACTCCAGAACTTGGCTTGTTTCTCTTTCTCTCTACCTCATTGAGTTTTTTGATTATAGCTGCTCTGAACTCATTATCACTTAGTTTACCTAATTCCAAGTCCTCAGGACTTAATTCCATGTTTTTATTGTTTTCCTTCTGGTCTGGGGCTTTTATAAAATGCTGGATGGTAGAGGAGTGGTTTTTTCGCATGGTGGTAGAATTCGGTTGCAGTTACAGCCTGTCACCACTAGATGGGGGTCAAGAGCCACGTGTTATGAGCTCTCCGCCTTCGGACTAGATGGCTGTGCCCAGTGACTTTGCTGGGAGGGAGGGGCTGCTATTCTCCGACGCTGATCTGGATTCAGATCGGTTCTGTTCTCTGGTCTCCCGAGGCCCTGGGTTTATGGGGTCCCCATGGACAGAAGCTTTCCCCCCGTCAGCGGGTTTCCACTGAACCAGCGATAGGAGTCCTAGATGATCCCCCAGTCGTGCGGCCCCTCCCCTGCTCCTTCCCGACCTATGCAGCAGCAATTGCAGACTCTAGGGGAGGGAGCGATGTTCTCTCTACCGTTCCAGTGCCTCCGAGGCCGTAAGTAAGGTTTATGATCTCCACCTTCTTGGTATTAATTCCACTGTTTCCTTATTGATTTTTGTGTGGATGACCTATCCATTGATGTGAGTGGGGCGTTGAGGTCCCCTACTATTATTGTGCTATTATTAATATCTCCTTTTAGGTTTGTTAATAGTTGCTTTATGAACTTTGGTGCTCCTGTGTTGGCTGCAGGGATATTTATAAGCATTACTTCTAATTGATGCAGTGTCCCTTTGACCATTATAAACTGCCCCTCTTTGTCTCTCTTTACCTGTCTTATCTTGAAGTCCACTTTATCTGATCTGAGTATTGCAACACCTGCTTTCTTTTGTTTGCCATTAGCTTGGAGTTTCGTGTTCCACCCCTTCATTGTGAGCCTGTGTTTGTCATTGGAGCTGAGATGTGTTTCCTAAAGGCAGCAGATTGTTGGGTCTTGTTCTTTAATGCATCACGCCACTCTGTGTCTTCTTATTGGAGAATTCAATCCATTTACGTTTAGGGTGATTTTGGATGTAGGAGGGCTTAATCCTGCCATTTTATCACTCGTTTTCTGGTTTTCCTGCATTTCCTTTCTTTCTCATCTTGTGTGTTTTGCTCTACCCATTGAATTATGAAGTTTTTTATGATATGTTTCCCTTATTCGTTTTTTGTCTTAAAATCTTTTTCTTGCATAACAGCAGCTGAAAAACTTGTGTTCTGTGGAACTCACTAGCAAATGTTCCCCTAGGGCATCATCAATAGCCTCAGGAGAGCTGGAAGGGATCTAATCCAATCTACTTCACATTCAGAACAACAGTTGCAAACAAGAAAGGAGTCAACAATGATCTGGAACATACCTTATGGTTGGAACAGCAAATGGACCAAACTGATCCACTTTCTGTAAATCAATAAGCACAGAAATGCAACCTGCAAGAACCAAAAGTTATAAACTGATGATTGTGGAATACAAATCATTATAGGCTGTCTCCTAGGAGTTATTTTGGCTAAAATTTTAATCTAAGATTTATCTGTTAAAAACAGTATTTAGAAATATAAATTAGAAATACTTTTACATTATGTGTGCCTTTCATTTCTCTTTAAAAAAAGACCAAAAAATAAGCATGAAAGACTTGAGCTATTACCTAGTTGCTCTTTACTACTTTTAGTAGTATGCAGAGAATATGCAGGCAGAAAACACTTGTAATATCGTAGATCAATATAAGTAGCTCACATAGAAATGGTCTTGAGAAAGGATATTTTCAGGAACAAGGGCTAAAATCTTATCCCAGCTTTCTTTATTTTCAAGAATATCTTGACCCACCAAGGCATAACCTTCAAACTATTTTTTTATTGTTTATAGATTTTCTGTAGGAATAACAATAACAAAGTCCCAACACTATTAGTAACACATACATCATGTAGCTTTTGTTGCCATTTGGGAGGCTAGGCTTATTTTCACTGAATTTCTAGAATGTAACTAAGTAAAATGGGAATAATACCCCTTCACAGTGGTATGAGTGTTAACTGATACATTGTAAGGGGAGAGAACCTAGCATAGTACCTGATTAGAACAGATATTCAAGAAATACTTATTTCTTAAACTCCACAACTTAAAAGGTTAATATCATAAATATGCAACAAGGGTAGAAAGCAACCAAATTAGGACAGCATCATAATGCATTAGTAGAATGAGGGATACAGCCTACATTTTTTACTCTGAATTGCTTGCTTTAACATCTCAAAAATTACATAATGCTTAGCAATTTGCAAATAGACTTCACATCTACTGTCTCATGTCATCTTTGCCACATTACTTTCCTCATCGGTAAGTGGAAATACCATCATGTCTCTCATGAAGCTGTTGTGAAGACCCAGGAGAACATGTGTAAAGAACCTGTCATGAACACAGCAGCCTAAAATAGACACTCAACTAACTCTAGCTATCATTACTGTAAACTGCTAGCCCAGCAGAGAAAACTGATGACAAGGTAATTCTAAAAGCACATAAAGGTAAATCAAACACAACTTAAACAGCATGGAGTCTTTCCCAACAGACCTGACAAAAGGGTGGACATTTTCACTTAGGTGAACTTTCTTTTTAACACCTTGACCACCCTGAGAAATAAACCATCGAAAAAGAACTTCATGTATGTTATGGAACATAAATTCAAATAATTAAAAAATTTCCTTAGTGCATTCTAAAGATACTGATTAAATTCTGTCGAAGTATAGAAGCTCGGATGCTATTTATTTAGTCTCAATACCTGTAACTTTCTGGGTTAACTCTACTTGACATGATTGAACTAGAAAACGAAACTAATCTTCCTTGTGCCACAAAGGGGGATACATTCAAAAATATGAAATATCTTAAAAAATGTAGCTACTATGATTTTAACTGATCTACTGGTAACATCATCTACCCTGGGATGTGGATGCTATAAAAGATAGTTTAATTTTGTTACTAAACACACCAGGCTTGCTAACATCTAGCAAACAAAGAAATGTAAATTATCATTAAGAAGATCTTACCTTTACAAGAGTCAAATACTCAATTATCCCAGAACGTACTGCGGAGGACAATTTTCTAACTGATTCCTCACAGACCCAACAATGAACACCTCTCCTTCCAGAATATACCCAGAGAAGATGCCTAAATCCAAAGTCCTCTCAGGAGGGAAGAAATGATAGGTTTTAAAATAAATCTATAAAATCCTGATTCTTGCTTACTTCCTCAGCTTCACTCTCGAAGATTCACCCTGAGCTAACATCTGTTGCCATTCTTCCTCTTTTTGCTGAGGAAGATTCGCCCTGAGCTAACATCTGTGCCCATCTTCCTCTGTGTTGTATATGGGATGCCACCACACTATGGCTTGATGAGCGGTGCATAGGTGTGCGCCCAGGATCCGAACCTGCGAACCCTGGGCCACCAAAGCGTAGTGTGTGAACTTAACCACCACACCACCAGGCCAGCCCCCAACTCAGCTTCATTTTTTACCTTATTCACCTGTAGCACCTTAACTATACTAACTTATTTGTAGTTTCCTGTACTTATCCAGGTCTCTCTGCCAAGAATTTCTTCGTGTCACAGCATTTCCATTCTCTGACTAACTGCCATTTATTCTTAAATAACCAGTCAAGGGATATTTAAAGAGTTAATAAATTTAAAGTGTTTAGAACAGTGGCTGGCACATAATAAGCCCCCTATGTAAGAGTTAGCTATTATTATGATCATTTCCATCCTTCTCATGATCTCTTCTAGGAAGCCTATTCTGACCTAGGCTCTTCCCATTCCTGTGTGCACCCTTGCTGTTCTCTATCCCCATAGCACTCTGTGCATATTACTTAACACAATGTAATCCTCGATTTTCTTGTGTCTCCTACTTGAGGTAAGAATTGTTATCGTCCATATTTCTCTCATCTAGGACAGTACGTAGCACACAGAGTTGCTCAATAGATGACTGCATTGGGAAAAAGCTCACTGGTTTGATCAACAGCTTTATTAGAGTTTCAACTACAACATTATTCCAGTCTTTCATTTTCGTGTCATATGTTGCAAGGAACCATGTTGGAAATCTATGAGATTTGATTATAAAATGGCATAGACAGACTAATATTCATAGGAAAACAGATTCTTGCCTTTGACCCCACTCAGACACTGCCAATACTTGCCCTTTAATGCTCGGTCGATGATGCATATGGCCATGGTCATGAGGGTCCAGGAGTTAGAACATATGTCTGCAGAACTGGAGCAGAGTCATCATTACTCACTGTCAGTAATACCACCCACCCTACCAGCAAGGCACACGGTGCTCACCTACAACATCTCCTCACATCGTCGTAATCTGTCATGTCAATGTCAAACACCAGTTCTTTTTCCTGGGCCTGGAAAGCTCCCAGCTTCACTGTATTGTGTTGATTGGGCTACAAGTACAAAATATCAATCAGTTTCTATAAGAGCTGCCATCGATGCTCATTTTCTACCCACGTGGAAAAATTGACCATAGAGAAGTGAAGAAACCACATAATTAAAGTTCATTATTTGGATCCTATACATCCACCAGAATTGATGTAAGTTTCATCTACTTGAAACAGGGTTTGATAAATACATATTACCATAAATATTTGTTTTTTTTCCAGTTCTGCTGAGATATAATTGACATATAACATTGTATAATTAAATATTTGTTGATCAATGGAAATCATAATAAAGCTTTTTTAAGTTTCTGATACAGAAAAGTACCTACAAATAACTAATGCCCTATTGCAAGGTGTTTTAAGGACCTTTAATTGTTACGGGACATATAAGTAACGGAAATTTATTTTAAATTTTTCAATAATTCAATAAAAATTTCTCCAATTAATCTGAACTGAGCCCATGTCCTCCTGTGAGGCTATGGACTATACTGTAAAGAAAGCTAACTGAATACAGATGCTTATTTTGCTCCCTCCAAACCTGCACAAAAATGATAGCAAAGGTATTTTTCTAAGAAAGGCCTAAGCCTTTTAAAAAAGAACCAGAGAGGAGATACTACCACCACAGTTTTTATAAGGAGACCCATAAAAGCTGGATCTTAAGCTCTCAGGAAGGAAAGATAAGAAGCAACTCAATTTATACCTCAGAATCCCCAAAAGGCTCAGGAACAAGTGACAACGGGTATCTCTGGAGTGAGTGAGTGTGAGGACTGGTTAAAAATCTATTTATCAAGCAGTTAGTTCCCCACATTCCTCCACTTACTCTGCAGAGCCAGGTGACTGCACTTCCATTTCCCTGGCAAAGACACCTGAATTATTGTGTGGAGAACATAAAACAGAGGGTCTCTGGACTGGGGATTGGGGGGCAACAGGCACAGGGGATTAATTAGACATTTACATGTGGAAGGGTGAGACCCAGCCCTCTCCCCTCACTTCTGTACCTTTCCACTGCCATCCCAGGCAGGAGACGGCAAGATTCATTTCTGAAGAATCTGACCAGCTGTGTCAGACACTGTTACATGCTCTAGGAACAGAACAGTAATCAAAACAAAGATCTCTATGCTAGGGGCTGGCCCCGTGGCCGAGTGGTTAAGTTCGCGCGCTCCGCTGCAGGCGGCCCAGTGTTTCATTGGTTTGAATCCTGGGCGTGGACATGGCGCTGCTCATCAGGCCACGCTGAGGCAGCACCCCACATGCCACAACTACAAGGACCCACAATGAAGAATATACAACTATGTACTGGGGGGCTTTGGGGAGAAAAAGGAAAAAAATAAAATCTTTAAAAAAAAAAAACAAAAAAAAGATCTCTATGCTAGTGGAGTGTTCCTTCTAGCAAAGATCTAGAGAAACTGACATCAGAGCTTCCCCTCAATAAAATGGCCCAGCCAGATCACCCTGTAGTAAAGACATCTCAGTCACGTGTGCAGAGCTTCCAATAGCTTCTAGTACTCTATTCTTAAATATAAGCAACAGGCAAGAGATTACCAGACATAAGAGGAAAACCTCTAATATGAAAGAGAGAGGGGAAAAAACAGAAAAAAAAAAAGCAACTTAGAGAAAGCAGATGGTGCAAGAAAAGAAAACAAACTATCATTGACATCCTCAGATATAAGACATATCAATGAAAAAAGCACAGAGTACTCTAAAAACGTTCTTGGAAATTAAAATATAATAGCTGAAATGAAAACCTCTGAGAAAATTCTCCAGAAAGTACAGCCAAGGGACAAAGGAATAGAAAATAGGAGGGAAAAAAAATAGAATGAGAGGACCAATCCAAGACGCTTAACATCTGATTTTAGGATGTCTAGAGAGACCAGAGAAAATAGGTAGGGAAAAATCATATTGAAAAAAAAAAAAGGAAGAGGGGCTGGCCCCATGGCCGAGTGGTTAAAGTTCTGCATGCTCCACTTTGGCCGCCCAGGTTCACGGTTTGGATCCTGGGCACGGACCTAGTCCACTGATGAGCCATGCTGTGGACGCATCCCACAAACAGAATAGAGGAAGAGTGGCACAGATGTTAGCTTAGGACTAATCTACCTCAGGCAAAAAAAGAGGAAGATGGGTAACGGATGTTAGCTCAGGGTGAATCTTCTTCACCAAAACCAAAACAAAAACAGAAACAAATTCCCAGAATTGAAGGATACAAGTTCATGATCATAAGGACCCATATCTAGCACAACATAGAAAAACAATATGCACCAAGGCACATCATTGTGAAATTTTAAAACATTGGGGACAGAAGGGATAGACAGAAAATCCTAAGAGCTTCCAGTTCCGACACAGCAGAACAAGAATCAGAATGGCATTAGCCTTCTTAACAGCCACACCGGAAACCAGAAGATAATGTAGCAATGTCTTCAAAATTCTGAGAGATTGATTTACAAACTGAACCACCTGTTAAGCACCAAGGTAGAATGAAGACATTTTCCAGACACAGGTGTCAAGCATTGTCTTCCCTTCACCTTTTCTCAGGAAGCTCCTGGAGGATCGGCTCCACCAACACAAGGAATAAACCAAAAAGAGAACATAGGATCTGGGCAACAAGGGATCCAACAAGGAGAAAGGTGAAAGGAAACCACAGTGATTACAAGACCATATTCATCCGTCAGGTCTAGAGAGCAATCAGTCCAGGTTGGAGGTGAGGAGGCTGCAGGAGAAATTTCTTCAGGATGAAACTGGCAAACTGCCTGATGGGTCTGAATACATTGGGAGGTTTAGACAATTTACAGAGTGTGGAGTTGAATTAGTGACCTACTTCTAATTTTTAGTCTAACAAACATATTAGGAGCATGTGGAATGGGAAGCTTGGATGTGTGGGGAGGGTTGGGGTGAGGTAAGGAAAGCTAACTCCTCATCTGCCTGAGTGGAAAGTCAATAGATAATGCTTAAAATGGAAAAATGGAAGAAATATAATCATGTCATTTAGAGACAAGGAGGCAAATGCTTCAAGAATCAGCTAAAAGAAAGTGGTTGCCTCTGGGGAGCAGAAAATAGGAGGAGTAGGAGGAGACCTTATTTTTTAAGGAAGACCTTAAAAAACAAGCTGTACAGATGCCTGTCTTGACCCTATAAAAAAATGAGACTTCTTCCCCTTCAGTGTTAGGGAGGACTACAGTGCCCCTTCTATAGAGACCCCACTTAATCTCCACGTCTAAAGAAGAGGAAACTTCTCCAAAGGACTTTTCCTGCCTGCCTTTTCTTACCTCCTCCCCCTTCCCCTGGGGTTTAGTCAGGAAACCTGGGTTCAGGTCCCAGCTGTATCATTTAGAAGTTATGTGGCCTTCGGCAAATTACTTAAGTCCTCCCTGCCTGTTTTCTCCTTTGTAAGAAGAATAACCAGGATTGATATGAAAACAAGATACACGACATATAAAAAAGCACCATACAAAAGCTATTAGCCCACGGGTCTACTTCCCCCCATGTGTGTATTTGTAAGGAGAGGACGAAGGGCTACTTTGGCATGTTCATTCCTTCAACAAGTATTCATGGTGTACTCTCTCTTCTAGGCGCTTAGAACATATGGGTGGCAGGGGGATGAGGGGAGCAGGTTGCTGTGGGCTTCAGTGAGTGAGGACTTGAAGGAGGCGAGGGAAGGAACCAAGAAGATATCTGGGGGACTGGGTTCTCGGCAGTGGAAAGTGCTTGAGCAAGGGCCAGTGTGGCGGAGGTGGAACGAGTGAGGGAGAGAGGGGCCGTTACTCTGAGTGAAAAGGGGAGCCCCTGGAGAATGGTTTTGAGCAGAGGAATCAGAGCATCTGACTTGTTTTAAAAGGATCACTCTGGCTGCTGTGCTGAGTAGACTCTGGAGTCTACAGGAGCAAACTCTTAGGAAGTTTCCACAGTAATTCAGACGAGGGATGATGACGGTGGTAGCAGTGGTAGGATTTTAGATACTACTATGGTAGCGCTAAAGCGATGTCCTAATGGAACGGATTCAGGAGTGTGAGAGAAAGAGGAATCGAGCGGAACTCCAACGCTGGGAGAGAATGTAATTCTCTCTTAATTCTCTCCCTTAAATCATGCTGACTTCCTCATTTAATCTTTTGCCAGAAACTCAGCTTTTTTTTGTCCTACTGAGAATACAAGCACTTCCAAATGATTTCCAGTCAGTAATGTAGAGTATCACAGAACAAAAAACATAACAATGTACTTGCAAAAACAATTAAATAAAGTGTGGCTCTTCAACTAGAATAAACCCTAAAAAGTTTTCTCTCAAAACCTTAAGGGGACCAATGCATTTTCGGTTAAAAAACAAAACGAGATATATAAAACCGATTTCTCACTCTGTGGGAATACACCGCGCCTATGTCAATCTTGTAAGGATTCATTTTCTGCATCTCCTTTTCCAGATCACTCTGGTTGTTGAAGGATTGGTAGCGAATGTAAATATCATCTTTCAATGTGAAGGAAAATTCACGGTGTTGAAAGTAATTCTTTACCACTGCAAAATAAATGTATATTTTAAAATTAATTTGGCACTTTACTCAGCTCAGAGCACTGTAACATTAACCAATGAGACGGTATTTTTAATGAGCCGCCTGTGGCCAGCACTGTGCTACACGCAAATAAACCCCCCCCAAAACCAAAGACAAGACCCAGTCCCTGACTGCAAGGGGCTTTTCATCCCGCATGTGATAGGGAACAGTAAAAACGAGGAAAAAGATGCAGAAATATTTCAAATACGTCACGCCAGCTCTCCCTCCCCGGCGGACACTCATGAAGCGGGCCGCGGCAGAGCTCAGGACCTCTCCTCCTCCGGGAGCCGCCCCTCCGCCCCCGACGCAGATCGCGCTCCCGCCCCACCAACCCGCCCGGCGCCGGCCCCGCGGCAGGTAAACGCGGCGCCGACCGTGAGTCCGGCCGCGCAGTGCCCGGAGCCGCGGCTCCGCTGTTCTCGGCGTGGCCGCGAGCTGGGTGGGCATCATCTCCCCTCTCGGCCCATTTACCCTCCGAGGGGCTGAGGAGGGCTCGACATGACGCCTGAAGGCACCCAGCACAGAGCCTGGCGGCCGTGCTCCACGCTGTCGTTCCCAGGTACCCGTCCGGATCCTCCTCCCCTCCCCTCCGGACCCACTCCCGGCTCCCCGCCTCCATCACCTCCGCCATAGTTGAGCCAGCGATAGTACTGGGCGTAGGGAAAGAGCCTCCGGTAATAAAGCTTAAGCAGCTCGGGCAGCTCGGCGGGGTCAAACGGCTCCATCAACTCAACCCAAGCAGGACGGCCGCAAGAATTGGCGGGAACCACACAGCCCGAGCCTCCGCCACTGAGCAGGCGCGTCGTGGCCGCGTCCCGCGTCTGCAGGGGCCGCTGGGAATTGTAGTTTCCACTCGGAGGTTGGCCAGGGCGCGGGAGGCGCTCCCCCGGGTCTCCGCCCACCGGCTCTGGGGTACTAGGTCTACAGCTCAGGTGGGCAGAAGGAGGCTGCGCCCATTCCAAGAAGGTATTCTGCGGAAAGGTGAGCCCTTAAGCATATTGACTGAGGTTATCAAGGGGAAGCAAACGATGTTCTCTGCTAACTCTGTGACTGTTTTAGAAATAACACACAAAAAATGTAAACCACTATCTTTTAAAGAGGGTTTGGAAATTAGTCTTTCATGAATTGCTAGGTCCAATCTGTGCAAATAAATGAAGACCGACCAAATGAGAAAAGCAAAGGCTATTTATTCGGAGCTTGCTGCATTGCAAGGGAGTCAGCCACTGTCACCTGCGTTTTGGCAGAGACTCAAAAGCAAGCCGAGGAGTGCGAAGGCTTTCTGTGGGGCGGGGGGGAGAGAAGGTTTCAGGAATTCCCGGATTCAAGGCTATTTACATGGGGAAGCTCCAGGTGGGCTAACTAGGAGCCGGGCATCCTATGTAGTTGGTTAGGGGTGCATATTTGGCTTTGTCTGGTTGATTCTAAGTTGGGAGTGGGGAGAAAAATTAGGGAAGCTTTTGGGTATTAATTCAGTTCTGGGCATTTTGGACCTATTGTTACAGGGGTTATTGTTTGTCTTCCTGGACTATCACCAGAGACAGCAGTCTGACTTCTACAATTCTGACTTATAGCAGGCTGGCTTCCTGGGCTGTTTGTTATAGTTAAGGGGGTTGGTTTTGAAACTGAGATTGAAGAAGTTAACATCTTCTTAGAGCAAAAACTTTGAGAGAAGCTTTGCTAATTGCAGCTGTGCATACTCAGCATAGTCAACCGTTGTTTAAAACTAGCCATGTCTTTCTGTCCTTCAGTATATAAGTGAGCTGTTTTTCCCAGGAAGTCAAAGTCCAGACATCAAGATTCAGCCTCACAAGGCCAAACGCAGGCTGAAGATGAAAACTAACCAGAAAAGTCCAGACAGTCAAGGGGAAAGAAATTCAGTCTTCAAGACCGAATGCAGGCTATTGGGAAGGTGCCAATCAGCAAGGCCACATGCTCCCCCTCCACCACCTAAGCCCAGGATAAATCCCCCTCCCTTTTCCCTTCAAGGAGGTGGATCTGAGTTCTAACTCCCATGTCCTTGTGTGGCTGCCTTTCTATAGTAAACCTCTTTCCTCGCCACAAGCGTGGTGTTCCACTTATTGGCCCTGCCGTGTGGCGCGTAAACGAATCTGTGTTTGTGTTCAGTAACAGTTTCCTGGGTAGGCTTCTGCAGATTGTGGGCCAGAGCTCTATTTTTATATTTGATCTGGCGATGGTTTGTTTGTATATTCAGTCTCTCAAATAGAACACCCAGGAATACTAAAATCTGAATTGGAGGGAGCTTGCAGAGTTGTGGAGAGCTTTGCAAATATGAAAGGAGCCTGTGTGCTATTGATATGTGATCTGCCATTCATCTCACTGCAGATGTGGACTGGGGTGGGCCGTCTGGTTATCACATCAGTATCATACGTGTCACTTGAAAACCATCATTTTCATGAATTTTATTTTTACAATAATAGTAGGAGAGCAAGGAGGGAATTGAGTCTCTAGTAAGTTATTTTTAGCCTAATCTTGAATATGATCATGGTCCCTCAGCTCCTGTGGACAAATCAAGCAAAAATGGACCTTGGGCAGATCATACTTATTTGAATATTCCTAGCAATCTGGCTTCCTGCACGAATCTTGGTTGATTTTCCCAATCCCTATGCATCCTGTTTTGGGTAGGGTGGATTTCATGCCTGGGAAGGTCTTCACTCTAATAATAGTAACAGGAGTGCCCTGGAGAGTGCTGTTTTCTGGAAGCACATCCCCCTGAACTTTTTCATGGAGGTTTCTCAGCTTCTGCATTGGTGTCTTTAGGAACTGACTTCTTTGGGCAATTCAGGAGTACCCTGTTTAAGTTTCAGGGCCACTAAGGAGGGCAACACCTTATGTTGCTAAGACATAAGGGGAGAAAGCAAAGGAAATTATATTTACTGAGTTCGTATCATGTGGTTGCTTTATTTAATGTTAGTGTTTTTTTTTTTGAGGAAGATTAGCCCTGAGATAACTGCTGCCAATCCTCCTCTTTTTGCTGAGGAAGACTGGCCCTGAGCTAACATCCATGCCCATCTTCCTCTACTTTATATGTGGGATGCTGACCACAGCATAGCTTGAGGAGCGGTGCCATGTCTGCACCCGGGATCCAAAGTGGTGCACCCTGAGCCGCCAAAACACAACGTGGGAAGTTAACCGCTGTGCCACCGGGCCAACCCCTAATGTTAGTTTCTTATCAGGATAAAGGGAATAATAGTAGCTAACATTTGGGGCTGGCCCGGTGGTGCAGCGATCAAGTGCACACGTTCTGCTTCTCAGTGGCCCGAGGTTCACCAGTTGGGATCCCGGGTGTGGACATGGCACCACATGCCAAAAGCCATGCTGTGGCAATGGCAGGCATCCCACGTATAAAGTAGAGGAAGATGGGCATCGATGTTAGCTCAGGGCCAGTCTTCCTCAGCAAAAAGAGGAGGATCGGCAGTAGTTAACTCAGGGCTAATCTTCCTCAAAAAAAAAAAAAGTAGTAACTAACATTTATATAGTGTTTGCTGTGCTGTCAAGTACCATTTTAAGAACTCAATAATTATTCCTCATAAGAAGTCTTTGTGGTAGGTACTAATATTTTCCCTATTTGACAGATCGGGAAATGTGCAGGGAATTTAAGTAACTAGTCCGATATCACACAGCTAGTACGTGGGAGAGGCAGACAGCCTGGCTCCAGTCTGTGCGTTTAACCCCGATGCTACATGCTATGTCTCTACAAGGGGTTCTGGTGAGGCTTAGACGAGATAGAGTAAGAGGTGCCTGGTGCAGTTCATGGCACTCGTGAGAAAGCTCTTCCGTAAAAGTGCTCTAGGTAGAGGCTTTTATCCCAAGTGCCGCTGGGAGGCAGTATTGCCTTCCAGTTGGTTTCCCCTCATGATTTTGCCCACATAGGTGCAAAACCCCTTTGTCCATCTTTACACTATCTGCCAGCCTCCTTACATTTACTATTTACATGTACTGTCATTCTCTTTGGGTAATCTATCAACCAGCCTAGGTCTCTCTCCCCAAGTTCTTTGCAGGCTTAGACACCTACCTCGTGGACTTCCCTTCCACTTGAACTCCTGTTGTCATTCCGGATGTTTTTAGCATGTAAGAAGATGATATATTCAGCAAAGATATGGTTCATTCAGTCATTCTTTAACTTATTCATTTATTCCACAAATAGTTAGTGACCATTTGTGTTAGGCATTTAGCTAGGCTCTGGGGAGAAAAAATTAATGATGTCATTTGTGTTTTGGAGAAAACTATAGTCTAGTAGGGGCAATAGGCACAAGTGAAAAAGTGTAATAAAATGTTATAGATGCATTTATAAACCAGCTATCTATTGGTGTCGACATTTTCCATAAGACTTGGATAAGATTGGTACAGGGAGACAGGCACAAGTGTAAATGTCATGACGCTTTCAGGAAACTGCCAATAGTTCCTTACTGAGAGAGCTTGATACCGGCTCAACACAAGGCTGCCATAAGGAAAGCCATATTTTAGAAAAGAAATCATACTATAAGTTTGAATGACCTCTGATTAACTAACGCAGATACGCTCTGTAGATTTTATGGAGCCTCCCAGCTGTTATAAGTTGATAACTTTGTTCTTTTGAGTTCCTTAGGAATGTCCTGAACCCCAGGCAGAGAGACTAGGCTCATAACCATCATCAATGACAACTAAAAAATCAATGTATAGGGTGTTGCTCTGGTCTCTGATGCATATCCAGTAAAACAAAAACTGTCAGGAGCTAAGACCAGACGTCTGCTCCCACCTGGAAACCAGATGCCTCCCTGACCCAGACACCAGACCCCTATAATAAGTGGCCTGTACGCTTTGTTCTGAAAGATAGTTCTTTCAGACATTAGTCGATCATCTTTCCCCTTCCTAGCAAGCTGTAATAAAGTCCTTTCTCTCCTACCACCTTGCCTCTTGCCTATTGGCATGTCTTGCAGCGGGCAGATGACCACTGTAGTGCAGTAACAAATTTGGCACTCCAAGTTGGACATTAAATCCTGCTCATGGCCAGTAAACCTCAGACAGGGAACCTGTTGGGTAAGTCCTTAGTGGCTACCTAAGCTCTCTTTGTCTCGGGGAACTGCCTTTCCTGCTTTCCCATACTGGTACAGTGGCCTCCTAATGCTGACTGTGGTAGGAACAGAAACAGCTATGTCTGGCAAGAACCCGGGCTCAATTTGGAATAGGGTAAGTCACCTCGCGGATGCCCGTGAACTCCATTCTCCTCCATCTTGGGTCCTTCCATTTATTACAGGGCCATCTGGGGCCCAATAGGACCATCTGGATGTGCATTTGGAGTGGAAACAGTTGTAGAATTTGTTAACCTAAATCTGAGAAGTAGTTTAATAGTGTCTGGTTTTTCTGTGTCCGTGTCTGTGTTGGTAAATAGTTTAAAATTGGCTGTTTGGGGACTGAGTTTCTTGGTGATGGGAACAAACTCTCTTTAGAAAATTACCTCGTTTCCTGCAGCCACCTTGGGAAAGCCTCCTAAAATGGGGTTAGCCATAAATAGCCGGTAAGATATCCTGGGATACAGTGGCCGTTTTGGGCTCCATTTGAGTTTTGGAACCGAGAAACAAAGAAATCTTTAAAGGATCAAGTGCTCCACCCCTGGGTGCTTTCCTCTGTGTTTTGGGGCACCTGGAGTCATTCCAGGTTGACCCCTGGGTCGGTCCTGTGACTGACAATCTGGGACCCTGTTTTGTCTCCTGTCAAGAACTTGTTGAGCATTTTAGGCTCCTAGTGAGTCAGTTACGGGGACAGGAGACCTGTAATTTCTTCTGTAAACTGTCCTGCTGGGGTTGTGTGCCCTGGCATGGGAACTGTTGTTTCTGTGACCCTTATCTTGATAACCCTTGGGAAGTGGCCATGAGGGTGAGAGCCTGATCACCTT